AGGACTTGACAATTAACCCAAAAATTATCTTTTCAGGATCCCCTAAAGATGTCTTCATCCCCAGAAAGCAGGAAGTAATTTTAAGAAAACGATGCCCACATTCTCAAGAGGTGGGATGGGAGGTTTTTGGTCATTTAATGAGTTTTGGATATTGTCATTGTTTACAATGGTTGGGTACAAGTTGTTAATTGTTTATGGTTAAGAAAAAAGCTGAACAAGGAGATTAGATTCAGAGTTTTTGTTTGAAAAAAGAAAGAAATAAAAAAAGAGAATAGATATATGAGGTAGATTATGGAATATACTCTGAGAAAAAAGATAAATAAATAATAAGATAAATGGGTAGATCATTGAATCTATACTAAAACAAAAAAGGGGAAGATATAAAAATGACAAAAGTTAGATTAATGAATCTATTATGAAAAGAAAAAGAGAGAGAATATAGATATGATAAGATAAAAATTGAGATTATGGAATCTAATTTTAAAAAGGTACTTGTTTTAAATAGGATAAGTAATGAATTTTTTGTCTGAGTTTATCAAATGTTACTGGACTGGACATTGTTAATAAATTAATGGAATTTTTTGTCAAATGTTAATGGACTAGACATTGTTAATGTAATCTTGACAGTGTATATTGTATATACTTATTGGATATAATTTTTCTTGTATTAATTATAAGCTTTTTTAAATTTTAGACAAAAAAAGGGAAATGTGCTAGCATTGTGTTCCCCAAAATATTGTGCATGCTAATAAACTTGTCAAGGGTCAGAGAATGGAACAGCCACAATATTAAACATAGAGGATAGGCAGTGTTAGCACACACCTTTTATTCTAGCATTCCAGAAGCAGAAATCCGTCTGGATCTCTGTGTGCTCAAGGATACAGCCAAGCATGGTGACTCATGCCTTTAATCCAAGAAAATGAGCCTTTAATCCCAGGGGGTGATGGCAGAAAGCAGAAAGGTATATAAGACGTGAAAACCAGGAAATAGAAGCATTTGGCTGGTTAAGTTTTAGGATTTTGAGCAGCAGTTCAGCTGAAATCCATTTGGATGAGGACACAGAGGCTTCCAGTCTGAAGGAAACAGGATCAGCTGAGGAACTGGCAAGGTGAGGTAGCTG